TAGAAGGCGCGGGTTGCGATGGGAGAAAGATGGATGGTGGATACCAGCCGAGGATTGTGAGAAGTTGAAGGGCTGGGATCCATGGCCCGAGCCGACGGAGACGATCGGCGATGAAGAGGGCGACAGCGATCGGCTCATGGGAAAATGGCGCGCATCGGCCCATGATGCGCGCGGTTGGATGGAGCAAGATGATGAACGGGGGTGCACGACCGATGGTAGAGCCGCAGGGCCGAGCGACATGCGGAGGGTGTCGGAGGTTGATTGGGACGCGTTGGAGTTCGGGGGCGTAACGACAGGGCGCGATAGGCGTGCGGGTGAGCAGTCCGCCAGCAGTGGAGATGCGTGCGACGCAGCGGGCGCACGAGGATGCGCGGGAGGCGATCAGAGCCCGCGGGCGATGGATGCAACGCGCGGAGTAGCAGGCGCGGTAGGGCACGCCGTAGGCAATTGGCGCGCGGACGGTGGCTGAGACGCGCGCGGGGTGATCGGAAGTGACGACGGGCGCGCGATAGCGCGCGAGTGCACAACAAGCGCGGGCGTCCTAATCCGCAGAGAAGTAGGCAGGCCGGGTGATGAGGTACACGCGCAAAAAGGGGTCGGCGCCCGACAGGGATGCGCGAGGGATGACGCGTGCGAGGGAAACAGACGAGGCCTATGCCTCGAAGGAGTCGGAGTGGCGAGCGCACACGCGCGAGAAGCATGCGACACGGGCGAAGGGCGCGAGAAGGACAACGGGTGCGGGGCGCGCACGAGCGAAGCCGTGCGCGATCAAGATTAGGAAAGCCGTGAGGCGGCGGGCGTGCGAAGGGCGGCCGAAATTGAATGGGCGTGTGATTGGGATTTGTTTGGAGTGCAAGCCAAGCAAAATCAAGATCTAGTCAATTTAGGACTTTAGATATTTAGTTTCCTTCTTGCACAATAATATCTAGATTGTATAGGATATTTAATATTTTATTGCTTTAATATGTTTCCTAGGTAGATTAGAATTAGTCATAGTTAGGATCTATAAATAGGGATGTTCCCTCATTGTTTTTCATGTCTTGGAATGGAATAGAAAAGAAAATTTGTTCGAAACCGTGTGTTGAGAGTCGTGAGATTCGATCATACAAATCGAATTGGTGAGGCTAAGACCCGAGCCAGTTCAACGATTTAGAGAGGCTAAGACCCGATCTATTTCGAGAGTGTAGCGAGGCTAATACCCGAGTGAACTCAAGTATCGTGAGAGAGTTAGGCTAATAACCGAGTCGATCACACCTATCGTCGAGAGCAAGGCCGTGGCGAAGCCGTGATCGAGACAAGTCGAGGACGCGAACACCCGATCCTTCATCAGCCGCCTACGGCGTTAAGCCGTTCCACGACCCATATACATATTCTCTCGGCAATGTAAATTAACTGAGCTTAAACATGACTTTACTGAACATGAAAATACATAATGGTCGGAGGTTTGAACTTAACATGCAAAAACATGCGAGTGGCCCGTGGTGCGCCCTAAATGTGCGACCACAACCCTTCGGCCAAGGCACTACCAACATGACTAATTATCCGAACAATTAAGCTATTCTAAACATGATATTGCAAATAAAGGCTAAACATGCAAGAATGGTTTGGAGAACATAACTTATAACACGACATAATTGGTACGGCTACGGCTTCTCGCACGGTCCTAACACATGCATGTCAAATTAAAATCTAATCTTAATAAGCATGCTACTCTCGGTCAACAACCGTCGGGAGTTACCTCTTATTAAGCTCCGGAGGCTAAACTTCTCGAACTCCCGTGCTTGGCCGTGACTCTCCGCGTGCGTGTGTGCGTTGTCGTGTGCGTGTCCTCGGACCACCGTGTGGATGGCTTGCGGTACGTCGGGCTGCTTGCTGCCTATGCGCGAGAGCTCGGACAAATGATGGCTGGCGGCTTGCGCGATGGCACTCGGCGGTAGCTCACGAACAACACTCCAACTCACACAATATGCTCTCTAATCTCTCGGCATTATGAACTTGGG